CTGCTGTCGGAAAACTAAAAATTACAAATATAACTATTATTGCCATGCCAAAAGAAGATTTTGTCCCGTGGCAAAAGAAGCAGGCTAGTGTTGAGTATCAAACATAGGGGTAGCTTAAACCCTTAGATCAGTGTCATGATAGTTCGGTTAACCCTCCGATTGATTCTCCTAATCAACCAGGGTTCGGGGGCTAAACCCACCCTCCTGCCCACTAACGAATGGCTTGATGGGCCTCAGAAGTCCCACTGTAGGAAGGGCTTCGACGCGTTGGAAATGAGTCAGAAGGATAAGTCTTCACCCAAGTCACTTACACCCAGAGCCTGCCAAGGCCTAAGCGGTTCCTGACCTTGGAACGCAGCAGCCGACCAAGGGGCGTCGTGCGTGCCTTGGTCTTGTTGGGCTAGGTTCCCCATCTAGACAGACGCCTCTCCGGAATCTTTCAGGGTAGAGATCTTGACAGGTGGGCAAAACCACAGGGCGCCACGCCCTACCATGGGTCTGTTCCTCGCTAGTCGCGTGTCGACCAGCCCTAGCATAGGGTCATATCCGGGGCATGATGCAACGTGACAAGGAGAAGACAATCCCAGAGAAGGCTTACCACAACACCTAAAACAAGCCCAAGGAAGGCTTAACGATAGCAGGCAACACCTGATGGACAGTTCCAGACTCCAAGCCAATTTAAGGCAACAAACCAGAAGAAGACGGTAATAGCGAGATCGTAAATTTCAACACCTAACAGATATTTTCTTTCAACACCAAACTTAAATAGCAGCAATAATAATCCACGATCAGATATCGATCGCCAATTTAATTGCAATAGGATGCAGGAAGGAAACTCTCTCTACAAGTAAAACAAATAAGAGTAACTTAAGAAATAATGATGATAAGATATTTGGTGGTAAACTGATCACAGGGAGAAAAAGAAACAACCATACGGTTACTCACCTGTTTTCTTTCCTCATGAATATTCAGACTTTGTTTGATGCCGGCAAGCTGATGTTTTCCTCAATCTTTCATCCCAACTATGCATACTATGCTTTGATGCAGGGAAGTTGATGATTTCTTGAATCAATACCAACACAATCTAATTAAGAGATAATAGTTTGCTATGACGGTCCAGCCACGACTGTAAGACCACCTATGGTGCTCATCAGAAACGTGATATTTGTATGGTTAAACTCTTCTTCTTAATTACAATGATACATAAATCTCGAGAAAAAAAAATAATTAGAGAGATGAGGGCGTATAGAGTTTTTTGTGGGCACCTTCCTCCGTGTCGAGTGGCAACCAAGCGGAGTATGAGCAGATCGCCGCCGCCCGTTGCCCTTTTTCATCACCTAAAAAACGGAATTTATAAATAACTCACGGATGATATGGTGTCATGTTTTCATTCACTTTTGTGTGGTTGAGATTGTTCGTAGATTCGTGCGATTATTTTCTATGTTGTCTCAGTTCTGGGCGCATTACTGACTCATTTCTGTGTTATACATAGGCCCAATTCAGCCCATCACAGATTACGAACTACTTAATCTGTTCGGTGATTTGAAATATTTTGTATTCGGTTGCTCGATTCAGATATCTTGTGCTCAGCGGGGAGAGACAGTTCGCTTGGTGCTCGGCCGAGGCGGAGGCAGAGCCGCCGACGCCTGCGCCCGCTCTGGCGTCGCAGTCGCCGGAGGACTGGGTGTTTTTTTTTCTTTTCTGGTATAGGTAAAGATTTGTGTATTATTGTAATTAAGAAGAAGAGTTTAATCATACAAACGACATGTTTCTAATGAACACCCTGGGTGGTTTTACATCTATGACCGGACCTTCCTAGCAGACTATTTAAAATTTCGATATTACATAAATGGTAAACGACTGAAACAAGAGCACCACAGCAAGCTGGACGTCTCCGCTGCTAGTTGCGCGACCTGAGAAGAGCGCTCTTCTAGCAGTGCTGTTGTTGGTCGCTGAGAACGACTCGTCCGGAGCTGGCACGTGGTTGGACGTCTAAGTCCCCCGCCGGAGGACTGGGTGTTTCCCGTCGTCTTCGTCGCTTATTAACTGAAGGTGCGTGCTGTCTTCGTTTTGTCTCCCAGGTGATTTGGGATTTCATTTCTTTTTCAACATTTTGTCTGAGCGCGGACGCACGGGGGACAGAGGGTGTACCAATGGAAGGTCTATGAGTTTGATTCGGTGGCCAGCGAGTTTTGGGCATGAGGAGAGATGTGTGTCAGCATTTGTGGCCGCTACCTGAATCCAGTTGGAGCGCCTGCTGCTCGAGAGGTTCAGGAGCAATACTCTGACCCCTGCGACTTGCATTTCTGTGTTTATCGTGTGCAGTAGCTTTGTCTCCATGTTTGAATAATGATTGTTGTGGTCCTACACATTCATGAAGTAAACAACTGCATAAATATTAAATTGGCGTGCTGCAGAAAAGGTTACTCTCATAAAGTATTACTGTGTAGTGATTTGCAATACGCCAATACTACTAAGTGGTCTACGGTGACTTGCACACTATCTGATTACATGTCTGCACTGTAATTAGTAGATAAGTTGTTATAAGATGTCGATTCATATGTGTGAGCTTATTTCTATATGAGTGTTTTCATTTCAGTGGTTCGGTTTTAGAAGTTGTTGTTTTGTTCAGTTTTTTTTATGACTTTTCAGTTTAAATGCTCCTATTAGTTTTCATTTCAGTGGTTCAGTTTTAGAAGTTGTTGTTTCGCTCATTTACAGCTTTTTTTTAATGATTTTTCAGTTGAAGTGTTCCTATTAGTTTTCATTTCAGTGGTTCAGTTTTAAAAGTTGTTTGTTTTGTTCAGTTTCAGTTTTTTAGTGATTTTTCAGTTGAAATGTTCCTATTAGTTTATGATTTTTCAGTTTAAATGTTCCCATTAGTCTTTGTTCAGCGGCACTAGTTCCAGTGCAGTGCCCTCTCTGTTGTTAATTAGTAGCAGTTAAGCCGCAGTTTTCAGCAGCTGCTTTTCCGTCTTTCAGTTAAGTAGTGTAGCAGCAATATTTGTTTTGAAGTCAAATCTTTGAGCTGGTTGCAGTAGCAGGCTGCTGGTTTCTTTTCCCTTGCCGCGACTAAGTGCAGCTCTTGGTCTGAACCTCTGCCTGAAGTTGGTTTGTGCTTTGTACTATAGTTTGGTTCAGTTTTCAGAAACTCTGTTCAGTCATTCGATAGCAGCAAATATTCAGAGTACTGTGGTGCAGTTCGGATGGTGCAGCAGCATGCTTTAAAATTGTGAAGGGTCACTTTCATGCAATAGTGAATACACTATTATCGCTCCGTTCGCTTAGGTTTGTTTGGCTTATAAGCCGTACTTTTTCAGCCAACGAACAGTATTTTTCTCTCATATCAAATCAGCCAATAGTACTTTCAGCCATGACTTATCAGCCAAACAAGCCCAAACGAACAGTATTTTTTGAGTGTCAGTTTTTTAGTATTTATGTATAGGTAGAAATTCTGCTTCATTACTATTAAATTGCCTGTACTCAGTATATGTTCTCTGTCTGTCTTTGGTTTTCTTTTAGGTGTTCAGAGATACCGTCTCAGCAGCAACAGTGCATCAAACCGATACCGATTTTCTTGATTAGCAGCTGGAACAAGTATTCTTAATTTTAGTGTGTTTCATTATTCTTTGTTTTTATATTCAGATAATTAGTAACAGAAGGTGAGGCAAAGAATTCAGATGTGAACTGAACGACAGGAGGCAACTTACCTTGTTTGATCTGCATTCATCGTCTTCTGCATCAGTCTTCTTTGCACTTTGATTTGGTCTTGCTTTTCTCTTCGTCTTCATAGTTTCAATCCTTCATATTTGATTCTCCCTTCTCCGTTTGTTGTTTCTTTTTCTTCCCCGCCAAGTCATGTTTGTGTTGTTTTGTTGTGAAAAAGTAACATGTGGGGTCCACTTATCTTTAATTATTTTTTCGTTGATGACGTTAACTTGAGTTCGTTTCATTATTTTTTCTGTTGATTCTTTGATAGTTACGTGCTATTTTTTTTCTACCAGTGATTTTTTTTTGTTTTTTCGTAATTTTCTTTTGGCTTTGATTATAAAACTACCTGTATGATGTATTATTTTAATATTTTATTCTAATTTTAACGTGTCAATCTATCATTGGATAAAAATCTGAATGGTAAGGACCAGTTCCAGAAGACAACTAGTCACCACGCGCGCGGGCGCAACCTCGCACCCAAAAAAAAAAGCAGCCGCGCCAAAAAAAAAAGGCTCATGGCATCCCTTTCTGCAACCAGTCTCTTGTTGGGCCGAGGCCTATTACTTGGAAGGGTGGAGCACATGACACGGTAGTTGTCGTTGGATGGGGAGATTTTTTATTTTATTTTAAACACTTTTTTTAAACTATTTTTAAAATTGACATTTTTTTTTCAAAGCTAACACTTTTGGACGCGTCAACTGGTATGGCGTGGCCAAACCACTCTACCGCGTCATGCATGGTTAACGTGCCAATATGGCGTGACCGATGATAAAATCTTTGAATGCGCCACGACCACGGTTTCAGCCAGAAGGATCTGTTTGGCTGCGTCACGCCGCGTGCGTTTTGCCGCGCATGTGGGTGGCGCGCAGGCGTTGACGTCGTAATAATAATGCGCATTGACAGACTTGGGCCATGTCACCGGATTTTTTTTGCCACGGTGATTGTAAACAAAGGCTCATGCCGCCATGCATAACGCGGTAGAGTGGTTTGGCCATGTCATGTCAGTTGGCGCGTCAAAAATGTTAGTTTTGAAAAAAAAAGTGTCAGTTTTAAAAATAGTTTGAAAAAAGTGTTAAAAAAATCGACGTTGATGGGGAGCGCACTGCGCACGGTAGGATGGCCTGACTGCACGCCGACGTCGCCCACGTGACAAGTCGCGGTTGTGTTCGAGGTTTCGAGCCCGACGGCTCCCTCGAAGGCTCAAATAGTCAGATTTCGTTCGTTCCCGAACCCCAGTTTCCAACCCAAGATCCTTCTCACCGGCGACGCGTCTGTCGGCTGCGCCTGAGATGGATCGCGACACGCCGGTGCCGAGGAGGAGGAGAACGGGGAGCAGACATGCCGGGGAGCCCTCTTCGGCTGTGGCGGTGGAGACGACGAACGGGGGCAAGACAACATGGTTGTGGGAGGCGGGCGGGAGACTAGTGGAGACCCGGTCCGTCACTGCCGAGCAGACGAGCGCGATCAACACAGAAGAGGCGGAGGACGAGGAGTGGACAGATGATGCCCTCCCCCTCATCGCGAGCAGCCGTCCTCTCCCTCATAGATGCCCCATGTACCCCAGGGGTGGAAGCCGGGAAGAGATCGCAGAGTGGCACAGGGCTACTAGAGTCGCTTATGAGAAGGCTGCCAACGGTTGTTTTTCATCATTACTCCTCCAATGAAGGTTCCCGCTAACTCTTGTATTTTGGGTGTTCTTTGTTTAGATCCTGTCTCCAATCCTCCTATCTTGAGGGAGACAAAGGGGAGGGAAACGCCTTCTTCCAGTGAGGTGATCTCCACGAGACAAAGGGAGGTGCTTTTTAGGTTATCTAGCTCGATTGTCAGCATTTCCTCTACCCGGGTTGGAGATGGTAAAATTATTATTCCGAACTTGCAGTTAGATTATTATAACACAATAATTCCCACATAGCTAATCTTGACATCAGTTGCTCCTGTTTTCAGATGGGGTGCCAGTATGGGAGTTTACTGGAATCGTCATTGGTCCATCCGAGTCTGATGAGCATGCTAGGATACTGACTAGTTCTGATACTGTCTGTGATTATGATGGGAAACTGCTCGATCGCAAGGTACACAAAGTTACTGATATGCACTTTTGGTTCATCTACTTGTTTGCTATTATTAGGCCTGCAAACATGCTAGTCATCACAACCTGCCAGTAGCCAAGGTGTTGACCCTCTTGTGCTGCCAACAGAGATGACCCTCAAATCAAAATAGCTTTCTGTACAGCATCGGCCAGCAAACTATGCCGTGCTAGCATCGATATTAACCCCAATATCAAAATAATATAATTGACTGAGTTCTGGTTTGGATCTTAAGAAATCAACAAAGTTTAGAGCAGTCAAACTAAGATACTTTTCGCTGTTCTCGTTGGCTGCTGCTTTTCCATCCTGTGCTTTACTGGACAGCTGAATAAATTAGAAGATTGCTATTCCCTGTCCCAAATTGTAAATCGTTTTGGCTTTTCTAGGTACATATCATTTGGTATTGCACTTAGTTATACATTATGTCTAGATACAAAGTAAAAGCTTAGCTTTGTATCTATAAAAGCCAAAAAGATTTAAAATTTGGAAGGGAGTACTATTTAAGCACTCTTTAAAACTTTACAAAGAGTGCACGAAAACAGCAGACCTCCAATACATGTTTAAGATTTGACATAAATGACTGATTTTTAGGATAGCCTAACAGGACGTTACTTAGCCAAGCAAATACAGTTTCACATCTTATCAGTTAGCTTTGTATTTTTTTTCCCAAAAACAGTCTACACCACAGTCGATTAATCTAAAAACCATCCATAGCAGCATGCCTGTATGTCACTCATCATACAGGCGAAGGTGTGAAACAGAAACACCAATGCAACATGATCACATACCTGAGAATGTGGAACATTTCATGCAGTTGCAACATGATCACGTTGGAGCCAGGGTTGAGTACTTTTGGCTTTTTTTCTTGTTTATATGTGATGCGTTATTTGATGAAATAATGTCTTAACTCTAATCTCCATCGCTTCATACAATTTGTCTATCTAACTTAGCCTTTTTTTTCAGCTACTTGTTCGTTTGCCAAATAAGGCAATTAAGGATGGAGAGATTTTGTTTTTTGATCCCTACTATGGCATTGCTGTCTTGGAGATCTCAGTTGATATGCCATTGCGATGCCCTTCTTTTGTGTCAAGTCCAGAGTACGGAGACAAGGTATTTGTATTGGCGAGAGATGAAGATTCTTCGCTGTTGACCACGTCAGGGAGGGTCATGTGTCACAATGAAACTTATGTGCACCGCAACTACTATTTGTATGTGAGCTGTGTGCTTCCTGAGGTATTAACTAAATTACTTGTATTCAAATGTTGCATCTTACTTTATTGCTCTATTAAATTATTTGTACATGTTTAATGCAGGCTAGCACATTTGGATTAGTAATTGATCGAGATGGAGATGTCGCTGGATTGGCTTTTTTTGTTGGTTGGTCAAAAACTGCCGTTCTTCCGAGCTTTATTATCAGAACATTGGTTGAAATGGAAAGGAACTTCAGGTATTAAAAACAACAATGAATATCATGATTTTGTTACTTTCAAAAGCACTTGCAATTTTGGATTCAATAAAACTAGGTGATTTCCACGAGCGTCATTGCTGAAAATCAGGGACAGCTAGAAAACCAGACGCGGCAGCCGTGCCAACACCTATTATGTATATCCTAATCTTGAGAAGGTCTTGCATCATATGCTAAATTGCAGTAATGGAATCTCAGGATTTCAGGTTATGGCATTGCAAATTTCAGAAACGAAGTTCAGAGTTTCAGATTATATCATAATCAAAACTTTAGAATTGCGCATTCAAACTACAATACGCCACATTTACTTTACCTTGTTATTGTCAAACATAAGCATTGCAGCCTGCAGAGCATTGACTATACTAGAACTAATATAATTATCTTCCCTACCTATGGAGGACATTGCACATTGTTTGTCAACATGGCTAAACAAGAAGCAGTAGTTAAATGAGGTCAAGTTGCTGCTAATATTCAGAGATTCAAAGCAGTGAGCAACTTTTTTGACACTGAAAATTTTAAGTTGTGCCAAGCTAGGGAATATGATAACCAGGACTCTAGGATACACTTTAAGACACAGAGCAAGGATACTTCAATTATGCACTCCCACATGGTTCTGTTATTGCACACTTTCTTTACCTGTCCCTGAAGTGAGGTCTGTGGAAATAGGATAAGATTGTTACTCATCAGGAAGAAATCACTTTTAAATAATGAAAAGCACACAATCAAGCATTCAAGCTTGCATTATGGAATGAAGGATTGTAGGTAAAAGTTATGAACCATGTTTTATGCTAAAATGCAATAATAGCAAAAACATGGCCTATTGAAATTTCAATCTAAATAGGAAAAGAATATTTGCATTGGCATGTGTAAACATTTTCATGGAGAACACAATAGCATGCTCTTTGGCAATCTCCATGATACACAGATGTGCAACTGGTAGCTGCATTCCTTGTAATAGAAATGCGTATAGTACACTCTGTGCACTTCAAAAGGGTATAGTTGAACGTCGTGCTATTAAGGATAATAGTTAGTGTCGGTTTAATGAGAAGAATGAAAGGTAAACCTGTTTGAGCAGGGCTGCGAGTGGAGTGGCACAAATAGAGCTCCATTCCACCAAAATGAGCAGCCAATGTAGTGATAGCTGATCACTCCAAGGGAATTTGTGTCACCTAAATATCGTTCATCAAGAGAATATCAACGAATTTTTGAACTTGAGTTGGAAACTTGATACTCTAATTAGGGCAAAATGGATATAAAAAGGCTTATGATATCCTTTGTATTGTACTCTGTTATCCAAATGAATCATTAATTACGTTATCTATAATGTCTGCTTGCTAGTATGGCTCAAGAGTCGTGGTAAAAATCTGAAAATCAGTATGATCTGATATCCTTTGTACTGTACACACAAGCCATATAATCCTGGAATTCAGAGGCTAAACTTTGTTGGATAAGTAATTTGTTTTCTTGAGTAAAAAGCAATTTGGTTTTGACTACTGAAGTACATGCACAGCAACAGCTGGGAGGAGCTGCTACTGCCCTCTAGAGGCTTCAATTTAACTGCTGCAGTAATAGCAGAATCAGCAGGGGCAGTGAAGGAGCAAAATTGGTTTTGGGTATGAACTAAGTAGAACATAGTTGTTGCTAGCTGTATGCATTAGATGTACTAGCACTGCAGCAGGACGTACTGTAGCAAACCGACCTAGAGCAACTCTAGCAGGGGCCCCCAAATCAGGGCTTCTACTTTTGATTTGGGTGCTCCCGCTACTTTTGTTGGCCCAGTTTTTTTTGCTTTCCCTCCAACAGCAGAACCCAAATTTGAGCCCTCAAATCCATTCTGATAGACAATGACAAACGGGACCTACTCGTCCATATCTGTTTCTTCTTCCTCCTCTACCTACTGGGCAACACCGGGCGGGTGCGCCACGAACGATGCACGGGAGCTGGTGAAGTTGCGACGCCTCCACGACGGTTGGAGGAGTTGCGACTTACCATATCTTGTCGAAATCCGGGCCTACGGGTGGCCGCGAGGGCCCTGCGCCGCTGCGTCCGCTGCGGGCGCTGCCAGTGGGAGCCGGAGGGAAGGGAGGGGAGGGTCGCCGCGCTAGGGAAGGGCCATGCTCGGGGAGGGGTTGCGCGGGTGGGAATGGTTGGGTGAAATTTGGGGGCTTGGCCTAGAGCCCCCAGGAATGGGTGCCGGAGGTAGGATTTTGGTGCCCGCCCAAATTTCGGGGCCCTAGTAGGGGCCCTGCTGGAGCATGAGCCCCCATATTTAGCTATGGGGGCTCAAGTAGGGGCCCTCGCTGGAGTTGCTCTAAGTGCATATATAATGAGGGTACTACCTCATGTACATGTCGCCTTTGCGAGTTTGAATAAAGGAACAATACTATAGCTTCTGTGCATAAGGAGGTCCGTGATCTTGGTGTACAAGATTAGCAGTTTGTCACTGTCGCTGAAGCTCGATTTGTGCCTCCTGGTCAGCCTAGTTAGGGTGGGCATCTCACTCCTCCCGCTCGGCTCATGCCATGGTGGCGGCGACAGAGACAGCCAGGCTGCGCCTCATTAAGCTGCTGCTGCGTTGACATGCGTGGCAGCGAACCATGCCTGCAGTGACCTCGGCCACGTCGTGCGGTGTGGCGATCTCGAGCTGCATTAGCTGCAGTGTTTCGGCAGGAAAACAGAGGTGCTGGCTAACGGTGCCCATGTGGAAGACTCCGCGCTCGCTGCACTGTCAGCAATCGGAGGAAGGAGGAGAGGAATCGGAGTAAGGCGAGGCAGCAGAGCAAGGGAAACGGAGACAGACGAAGCTTGCTTGTAGTTTAAGATATTCGGTTACAATGTTCATGCCCCTTTCCTGGACGAAGCCAGCACATATACGCCAACAGACTCACGCACGCACCCGATACAAGCTGGACTCACTCGTTTTCCCACTGAGGCCCAAACACCCGGACACTCCTCTTCCTGGGCCGAGCAGGCCTTCCTCCTGCCGAGCCCGGCACAGCACACTCCACCTGCTCCTTCGGCACAACGTGCTGGTCCTCGGTCCTGACATCCCCTCTCCCTTGCGCGCCTGGATGGCCCCAGACAGCAGCGCGCGGAAACTGTTGACGAAGGTAGTCCAGATGAAGGCAATTGAGACCACTTGATCAGTCCTTGGCGCACAGGAACCACACCTTTGAAGATGGATCGACGTTGAAGAATCCTTTCAGGAACGCTCCAGCGAATGCAAGAAGGAGGCAGATTCTTCTCCACAACATGGTGACCACCGACTGCTTTCTTGAGCTGTGACACATGAAAGACAGGGTGAATAGAAGAAGATGCAGGAAGCTCCAGACGGTAGGCAACAGACCCAATACGCTCAATGATCCGAAGGCCCGAAAAACTTGAATGCTTACCGTTAGCACGGTCTCCGCCAAAGATGATTGCACATAGGGCTGGAGCTTAAGAAAAACCCACTCATCAATCTCAAACTCGCGTTCGAACGGCGTTCATCCGTTTGCTTCTTCATGCGCCGCTTGGCTCGATGAAGATGTTTGCTCGACCAATCGAAGTCATGAGATCACGGTCCCGAAACCATTCGACAGATCAACGATGGGATGATCATCAATGACCGGCAACCCAAACCGGCGAGAGCAAACCCATACAAAGACCTCGAATGGCGAAGCGGCCGAGAGCTGAATGAAATGAGGTATTGTACCGAACTCCGTAACATCCAACCGGGAACTCAGCCAAGCGCGGACAAGCATGGACATGACACCTGAGGAAAGCCTCCAAGCACTGATTGACCCTCTCTGTTTGTCCATCGGACTGCGGATGATATGCCAAACTCATGCACAGATCAACTCCAGCCAACTTGAACAGCTCCCTCCACAAGTGACTGGTAAAGATACGATCCCTATCGGAGATAATAGCATTGGGCAACCCGTGCAACTTGTAGACTTGTGATAGAAACAATTTAGCTACCCCAGCAGCAGTGAAAGGATGCTTCAGGCCCAAAAAGTGTGCATACTTGGAGAAGGTATCCACAACAACCAAAATACAGTCAAAGCCACCGGACATTGGAAGACCTTCAATGAAATCCATGGAGATTACCTGCCAAGCACGATCCGGAACTGGCAAGGGTTGCAAGAGACCAGGTAAACGCGAACGGTCCGGCTTGGCTTGCTGACAAGTAAGACAGGAACGGACAAAGTTGTGGACTGTTGTCTTCAAACCGGCCCAGGCAAACAACTGCTTGATACGGCGATAAGTGACCGGAATTCCGGAGTGACCTCCGACAGCACTGTCATGGAGGGCAGCGATGATACGAGTTTGGAGCTCCTTATTATGACCGATCCATATGCGCTGATCATAGCGCAGCAATCCGTCCCAAAAAGTGAAATGGGGAATAGCTGCCGGATCAAGCACGGGGCCGTAATCAATCTGTTGTGCATGAGCATCGGATTCATAAGAAGCGAGACATACCTCCGCAACCATTGCGGTTGAACCACCGAGACCGCAGAACATTGCAAATACGCAGACACGAGATAGAGCATCAAGAAGACGGTTATCCACGCCTTGCGATACACAATCTGATATTGCAACCCAAGGAGCTTGGTAAAACCTTTTGTTGCCAAGGCGTATGCAATCTTTGTTCGGACAACTGAACCAAAACTCTGACGATCGACCACAATACGAAATTCAAGATATCAGTAAATAAATTTTGCGCTTAATCGCTCCAGGCCAAAAGGATAGCCAAGTATTCTTTTTTCATATGTAGAGAGACCTTGAGATCGTGGACGCAGAGATTTGCCGAGGAAAGCAGATGGGTGACCATCTTGTGTAAGTATCGCCCCAATGCCTGCTCCATCGGCATCCGTCTCACACAAAAGGGCTTAGAAAAATCCGTAAAGCCAACACAGAGCTGATGTCGGGCTCGCTTCAGAGCATGGAAGGCAGCATCATGAATCTGTGGACAACAGGAACAAGGCCCCTTTCTTCAGCAAGTCCGTGAGAGGCCGAGAAATCACCCCAAAATGCTTCACAAAACGTCTGTAGTAGCCTGCCAACCCCAAGAAGCTGCGAAGCTCCTTAGCCGAAGATGGTACTGGCCAACTCAAAACTGCCTGAACCTTTTCCGGGTCGGTCGCCACTCCCTGCTCCGAAATGACATGCCCCAAATACTTCAACTGACGTTGAGCGAAGACACATTTGGAGCGCTTGACCTGCCACTGATCACGGCGTAGGAGCTCCAATACTTGCCGTAGGTGGACCAAGTGCTCCTCAAGCGACCGACTGTAAATGAGAATGTCATCAAAGAAAACCAAAACTCCTTTGCGAAGCAATGAGGCCAGGGTAGTATTCATCGCCTTCTGGAATGTGGCGGTGCCCCTGTGAGACCGAATGCCATGACTCGGAACTCATACTGACCCGAGTGGGTTTGAAAAGCTGTTTTTGGTTCCTCACCCGGCTGCAATCTGATCTGGTGATAGCCGGCTGTAAGATCCAAACAAGTAAACCACGAAGCATGGGTCAGCTCATCCAACAACTCCTCGATCACTGGTACCGGATACTTGGCCTTAGCAGTAATCGCATTCAAGTGGCGGAAATCAACACAAAATCTGAACGACCCATCCTTCTTCTTGACAAGTAAGACTGGAGAAGAAAACGGACTGTTGCTCGGTTGAATGATGCCAGCCTTGAGCATCGCCATTACTTGCCGCTCAATTTCATCCTTGACAGCAGGCGGGTAGCGATAAGGACGAACTTGCACAGGCGAGGCCCCTGGAATTAGAGGTATAGCGTGATCAGAAGGCGGCGCAGGAGGATAACCAGTTGGAGGAGCAAAAACTGATTCAAACTCTTGCAATAAATCTGATACTGCTGGATGAACAGGAATGGTTGGAGAAGTGTCTTGCGCTGACAAGGCCGTCACCTGGATAACTGAACCCTCTGGTAACGCCATCAGCTTCCCTTGCAAGCGAACCATAGTCTGGCCGTGAGGAATCAAGAGCCATTTGTGCTGCCAATCAATCTGCATCGGGCTATGACTTGCTAGCCAATCCATGCCAAGAATCATATCATAGGATGGCATAGGTAAAGCCAAGAAAGCTGACTTGAACTGACATTGCTGCACTTCCCACGATAGATCACTGAAAAACTGGGGACATTCAATGATATTACCATTAGCAATTCGGACTCGGGGTGGCGCTGCCAAAGATTGACCACCAGACAACCTGCTAGCGAGGTCAGTGCTGACAAAAGAACAAGTACTGCCAGAATCCACCAAAATCTGCACCGGAATGCCCTGAACTGAACCCTCAAGATGTATAGAGCGAACTGGAGCAGAAGCAGCAACTGACGCTAACACCTGGACAGCAAAAACCTGAGCTGAATCTTCCTCATTGGTGACTGGAACAACACATTCAGAGTCATCCGAATTGCACATGTCCCAGAACTCCTGGAGAGCGTGTAGCTGAAGAGTTTCAGGACATTTGTGGTCGCGAGACCATTTCTCACCACATCGAACACAGAGGCCGCGGGCACGCCTGTAAGACCGCAACGTGTTCAATTTGTCCTCCACGCCACGGGGCCGACGGTCATCAGCCTGAGCCCCACCCACAGCTGCCCGAACGCCACGATCAGGAACGGTGGCCGCCGGCAGCATAGGCAGATTCTTGGACGCGGCCTTCCTCCGCCCAGGATCCACCAGTTCTTCCTGCAACAAGGTGAGAACACAGGCAGCATCCACAGAAGATGGGCGTTGCATATGCACAGCAGAACGAATGTCATCCCTCAACCCATCCACAAAACGCATGGCATAAAACAGAGGATCAGTAGTTTTGCCATAAGCTATGAGCTGATCTACCAAACCAGTGAACCTATCTGCATACTCCTGAACATGCCCAGTTTGACGGATGTGAAACAGCTGGCGAATCAACAACTCATACTGATCCCGACCAAAACGATCTAAGACCAGTTGACAAAACTCCTCCCAGCTAACCTTCTTCACCTTTGGATCTAAGGACTGCAGCCAGCGAGATGCAGCACCTGTCATCCGCATCGTGGCTACACGAATCCATTGACTGGGCTCGACAGAATACATGTCAAAATAGTCGTCGCAACGACTGAGCCACAGCTTGGGATCCTCCCCATCAAAAACTGGAAAATCCATCTTCGGTAGCTTGCTACTGGAATACTGAGGTCCCCAATGTGCGCGGTACTCATGTGGCGCCCCCTCAACACCAGAAATCTCCCGATCCCCCATGTCCAAAGCAGAACTAGAGAGAGATCGATGCAAGACAAACTGATGGGCAGGCTGGGGAAGGGGATGGATGGTTGGCTTACCCTTGACCGAGGGCTGAGCCATGGACTCGAACCCCCGGTGATGATGTGCAACGCCGTGCCCCACTGACGGGCCGATGGCCGGGTGCCCGGCAGATGATGTCGCCGCGGCCACCACGGGATGGGACTTCAGGACACCAGCGGAAGTCGCCAACTCCGAGTCGAGCACCACACGACTCACAGATTTGCGAAGGGCAGTCATCTCCTCGCGCAACTGCTCCACCACCGCGTCGGACTTGCGGACCGCCCCCAACTCCGAGCGCAGCTCCGCCACCGACGCATCCACCTTGGGCTTCCATTCATCGAACACCTTAGCTGCATCCTCCAACCGGCTGAATCGATCCGCGATGGAATACTCCACCGCCCCGATCCGCTTGGCCAGCGACACCTCCACCTCCCCGATACGTTCCCCAAGGGACGTTTCGATGTGGTTCTTCACGGACTTGAGCTCATCCATCAGGAGCTTGATGTTGGAATCCATGGCCCCGAAATGCTTACGGAATCTGGTAAAATGGTCGTGGATGATTTCGTGGGGTTCCAGGATGAGGATAGGATAGATCGGCCAAGGAACGATAGGCTCTGGATACCAATTTGTCAACAATCGGAGGAAGGAGGAGAGGAATCGGAGTAAGGCGAGGCAGCAGAGCAAGGGAAACGGAGACAGACGAAGCTTGCTTGTAGTTTAAGATATTCGGTTACAATGTTCATGCCCCTTTCCTGGACGAAGCCAGCACATATACGCCAACAGACTCACGCACGCACCCGATACAAGCTGGACTCACTCGTTTTCCCACTGAGGCCCAAACACCCGGACACTCCTCTTCCTGGGCCGAGCAGGCCTTCCTCCTGCCGAGCCCGGCACAGCACACTCCACCTGCTCCTTCGGCACAACGTGCTGGTCCTCGGTCCTGACATGCACTGGGTGTCGAACTTGACGTCTCTGGTGGCAGCCGTGTTGCTGTTGAGGGTGGCGATGAGGGGCAGCGGCGAGGGAAGAGGAGGTGAGTTCTGGGGGGGGAGCATGGTACACCATCCTAGGCCATTGCGGCAGGCCCGTGCCAGCTTGCGCCGGTGTCGATGACCCACCGTGTGCCAGTGCTGCTGTCGTAGCCTGCTCTGGCCGTGCATGCGGGGGATGGCTGAGGACAGCAGGAGGATGAAGACATGCCGCTGAGGGAATGAGTTGTTCGCCGAGCAGGTTTGAGGCTTAACGGGTGAAAACCCATTACGGTCTGATCGAATGGTCCATATCGCATTTTGCTAGATCTAATGGTTAGTGGGCTAATGGCAACGTGGCCCTATCTGGTGCCCATGGTTTGGCGTAGGATTCACATAGTAGAGATTAGATGAGGGCTGAATTAATCAAGCAAAGAGTAAATTAGCAAGTTTCTTGATTAGTAGAATAGATTATGATAGAAATATAAGGGGTTCATGGAAATATGAGTAATGACATATTAGTCTACAATTTTGTTGATGAATTTTTTTATTTTTATTCCTATTTAAGTTATCTTTGCTGTTGAAAATGGCATGTAGAATTTTAATAGATATATAGTTTAATTCTATATTTGATTATTGATTAAATGCGAACTGTTTTTAGTTGTATTGCTCGTCCAGAACATGGTTTGTGTCTGAGAGCGGTGCAGTTTCTGGACATGCATAAGAGGGAAGAAATCTTGTATCAACACAATATTGATAGCGGTTACATCGTCGATGAGGTATGAATCTATTTAACAATATGCGTTGTCGGTATTGTAACTCATTTTATTTTTTAGGTAGCAATCAACTCCACTGCAGAAATCATTGGGATTAGGCGTGGGGATGTGATTGTTTCAGTTAACGGGGTGTGCTCTCAGACTATGCCAGAGGTGAAAAACTGAGAATATATCTAGTTTTATTATATATACTTGAAAATATATCTGTTCTTATTGTGTTCAAAATTTGTTCCCAGTTGGAGGAGTATTTGCTTTCTCTTGGCTGGAAGTTTCTGGAGAGGAAAATTAAATCATCCAAGATTGTTCTGAAGGTATATTTGAGGTTATGTGCAATATCAAAATGTAAACTTAAAAAAGGTTAACAATTGTGATATGATGTTTCAGTTAAAGGTTTATGACCCCCTCAAGTGCCAGGAGTACACTCTAAGCCTGCCTCTGGGATTTTCTTGCCTTACAGCAGGTAAAAAAGTTGAGGTGAAAGCTAATATGTATTTCTTATTTTCTTTGATTACGTCTCACATGAGAGTAACCTTTGCTTAATGGTAGTTCCATAGTTGTTAGAATGTACTTTGATTGATTCACATGATTGTTAGAAGTATGTGCTCTTTGAGGCTAGTAAGAAGAGTATTTTTAAGGCAAGTAAGCTATAGAGATTTGACAAAGCACATCAACAATGGAGCTCCGGTGCTAGTGCACTAAGCAAAGGAAGAGGCAATACGTGTACACATACAAATAGTATTTAGTCAGATGTAGCATCTGAATTGGCTCTGTTCTCAACCTTAGTGGCTTCCATCCAAATAAAAAAAAGGATCCATGATGTGCATGTGCCTTTTCAAAGAGCGAATATTTTTTTCTGGATTTCTTGTATATTCTTGTATATTTGATTCAAGTTCAGAATGAATATAGTACTAGTAATTCTATGTTTCTATAAGAACGAATTATGCAATAACAGCAATACATTGGTTTTATCTTTTATGTTGATCTGGTTGCAATTTAAACTTGGTTCACAGCTCTCATTGACTACAGTTTTGTTGTTTCCATTTCTTATGGATGGTATTGATCTCACCACTGCAGTAAAGGAGAGAGTGAAGGTGCAAGTAACTGAGAAGACATCACCTGGCATCAAGCGCAAGAAAACTACTCCTGTGCCGATGCCATCTGGAAGGGTCTTACGCCCTCGTAAGAAGTGAGAAAAAGTAGTCCTCGGTAAGCTGGAAGCTTAGGCCGTGGTGCTGTGCATAGAGTGAATATGTTCTGCCATTCTTAACAACTGATGTGATCCATCCATGGAGGATTCTATTTTGGAGGGCCTGTTTGGCAAAGAGCTCTGGCTCCTAAAAACAGGGCTCCAGCTCAGGTCCATCTGATGCAGTGGCTTCTCTAAAAGGAGAAAAGCCTTTTTGAAAAACGTTTGGCAAAACAGTTTCTTCTGATTTTTTGAATGGATGAAGGATGTTGAATGTATGAAGTGCCCCTGCTTATTTGGGCTTGGTTGTCTAATGCAGTTGATAATATGAGTTGATTAGATAGTCAACCTTGGTTTCCATGCAGTTGGTAATATTAGTTGATAAGAGAGTCAACAATGGTTCCAGCTTTAGCCCTGGTTCCTCGGTTTCTCCTGATTTTTTGAATGCATGAAGGATGAGTATCTGAAGTGCCCCTGCTTATTTGAGGAAAAGAGGATACTTTGATTATATCTAATAAAAAAGAAGTCAAGATAACAAAACCTTACTCGTTCACGTCCCAGCAGGCCAGCCCGTGTCCATGTCTATTCCATGTCCCGTCTGTCTCTATTGTCTCTTCACCTCCCGGTGAGACAGCGGTTGTTTGTGGCTCCGGCGACGCGGCACATTCGAGGTAAGCAGCGCGAGGCAAGGGTATACTTGGCCATCGGGCCGGCCCGGCTCGGCACGGCCCAGGCACGGGCCGCAGGTGGTCGTGCCGGCACGGCACGCCGTGCCTCCGGGCCGGGTCGAACCGGGCGCCGGGCCTGGCCTATCGGGCCATTTTTTGGACCGGGCCGGGCTGAAAAGCCCCAGCGTCTTAGCAGGCCATGCCGGCCCAACAACCCGACGAGAGGGGAACGGAGGCATCGTCGTCGCCTCCAGGGCGGGCACGGGTGGCGAAGGGGCGGCGCTGGCTGAGAGAGGTGGGAGGCGGTGGCGGCGCTCGACGCCAGATCCGGCAAGAAGAGAAGGGTATGGAGAGGAAGTTCTGGTCGGAGTAGCGGACGAGGCAGGAGTCGTAGAAGATAGTGGGGACGCAGGCGAGCCGCTGGATCTGTTCCCGCAGATTTGCCCCACGGGGTCGCCGACTTCCAGAGGCGTGGGGGTGAAGATGAGGAAGAGGGTCGTGGCGGATCCGGCCGCACCCGACGCCTTGACGGCACGGCTGGCAAGAGGAGGTAGGGTCAGAGGGGCACGCCGCGCGGCAAGGCTTCAGAGTCTTGGTGCGGCCGCATGGGCGTGGGGAGAGGAGGATGCTGGGGGCGGGGGGGGAGACAGAAGGAGTTAGGGTTCGGGGCCGGGGTGGAGCGTGGGGCGTGGGGGCGCAGGCTCAGGCTGGGAGAGCTGCTTGCTGGCCGCGCGTGGCTCTCCGCTTATATATGAGGACCGAGGAGGGGGGAGGGTGGTGGATCGGCGTGGCTGGGGCATGGGAGGGGTGGCTGGGCCGTGCGTGCCAGCCAGGCCCGAGCAGGCTGCCTGTGCACGCCCTGCAGCCTCGGGCCGGGCCAGCCCGGGCCCGCATGTCACCGGGCCATGCCGTGCTCGTGTCGGGCTAAAAAAACGGGCTTCGTGCCGTGCCGTCGTGCCTCGGGCTGCATGACCAACTATAGGCAAGGGCTGCGAGTCTAAGGGTATGGAAGTCCATCGGTTGTCCAACTGAAGAAGCCACTATTTTAAGCTCTTGGCGTACTCCCTCCATTCGTATATCACATGCTTCTCTGATGAGACTCACACTCACTGAACAAATGAACAGTGATTCAGTGAACGCCGGGCAGCAGCTACTGCTGCCTACGGATTCCATTACGTCCCGAACTGAGAGTAGAAACGCCCATGCGTCGTTGCAGTCGTGAATCGCGCACACAAAGGTAGTGCCGGTTACTCCGTACTAAATATTATAAGTTATTTCAAGAATTTTGAAGAGTCAAAGCATCTCAAGTTTAACTAAAATTATAGAAACAATTACAAAGATTTATGATATCAAATAGATATACTATAAAAATATAATTAATAAAAAATTAAATGATACTTAGTTGATATCATAAATGTTATTATCTTATTATATAAATTTGGGAGATGCTTTGACTCTCAAATATTGTTATGGTAGTAACCAAGAACACCGATCATGGATATATACCCGTACCGAGGACAAAATATACACTGAGCTTTTGTACGTGCTAGGTACCCGTTAGGGTCTAACCTGTAGGAGCAGCTTCTGTGCCGGCCACCGGGGATAATTAACCTGTACGATCATTGTCGGTCCTCCCCTCTCTTGAAGGTTTCGAGCTGCTAATGCGGTGCTTTACAGCAAAAATACTACATTACTATTCAAAAGTATTCTACTTCCAACAACAAATTTTTTTAGAACTATTCTTTCTTTCCGGAAATACTGTGTCATACATTAGACGGATGGTACAATCGCTGGACGTCTTTTACCCCTGCCCGGCTGCCTGCATGTTTATTAAAAATAATCTTATCCCTTCGCTTCCTCCTCTTCATCCTTATCCCTTCCACGCTCGCGCCCTCCGCCACCCTAACGCGCGTCCCCGGCTGCTTCCCTGGCCGCTGCCGGCGTCCTCACCCACCTCGGCGCGCGCCCTCCCCTAGCACCCCAGTGGCTCTTTCCCCTACTCGGCGGCGCCCCTCGCCCACCCTCGTCCTCACCCACCGGGAGCCCCTAACGCCTGTAGATCCGGTGTTCCGTTCCCCACCCCGACGAGATCCATGAAGCACGAGCGAGATCCAAGGAGGTGGCGTGGCGGTATTGCGGGGGAGTTGGCGGCTATCCCCCACCCCGACGCGACACCCTCCCTACCTCGGCGGCGCCCTCTTTCACCCCGGCGACCGAGCTACCCCCACCCCGACAACCATGGCGGTCCTCGCCCCCATCCCCCACCGTCGCCACCGAGCCAAGCCCGGTGTTGTTGGCGCTGGTACTCGCGTGCAGCCGCTCGCCGCCGGCTCCCACCCCGTCGGCCGGAATCGACCGGCCTAGGCCTCTATCCCCCCTATGATGCAAATGTATGTTTCACGTGTTTCAGACATTTCAGAGGTATATTGCAATTGTTTCATCGATGTTGCAAAAATAGACCGGGGGATGTTGCACATGTGCATATGTTGTAAGTGTTTCCGAGGCATGTTGCAAGCGTTTGTTCGAAATGTTTCATCTATTTCAAACGCATGTTGCAAGTGTTTTATCTGGATGTTGCATATGTTTCAGTGGCTATACATATATGTTGCAAGTGTCTATTCAAAATGTTTTATCTGTTTCTGACGTATGTTGCAGTGGCTATAAGCATATGTTGCAAGCGTATATTACAAATGTTTCACCTGTTTCAGATGTATGTTGCAGAAGTGCTTCATGTCGCAACATTACCAGGCGTAGGGAGCGGGCGCAAGCGGAGGCGGTTCCCGTGGGCGCAGGTGGTCCCTGTGTGCGCGGGAAGCGAAGGAGGCATGTGTGGTCCCCACCTACATGCGTAGAAGCAGGCATAGGGCGTACAACAGCATGCGGGGGTGGGTACGCAAGTGCAACTGCATGCGTGGCAGGCGCATTCGGTGCAGGCGCAGCATGTGGGGCGGGATCTGCAGGTGGGGGCAGGCTCCGGGCGTCTGGAGCAGCGTGGGCAGGTGTGTGGGCGGGCATCCGAAAGTCATCCCCATTGGACGTCCGTGCGCTAGCACATCTCTTTTTAGAGGTATTTTAGAATTATTCAACAAGGTAAAATGAACGTGAGCATGTTGGGCCTGGCCCAGCAGGCATGCTCAGCCAACCAAACGCCCTCCACGCCTCAAGAGGCAGGCCATGCCGAATTCAATCCACCAACGAGGGACTTAGGATTTGGGCCGACTACAACAAACTCCTTGCCTAGTCGCCCCGCACCACACCCTAATAAAATGGGGTGCCGTGGTTAAGATCGACGGTGCCCTCAAACTTCATTCCTTCCAAAACCCAATTTCCCTCGCCAATGAGCACGACAAAGAGACGTGCCGAGGAGCCCTCTTCGGCCGTGGAGGTGGAGACGACGAAGGGGGGCAAGGCAACATGGTTGTGGGAGGTGGGCGGGAGACTAGTGGAGACTAGCCGGCCTGTGACTCTTCTGCGTTGCTCACACAATACGAACACCAGCGTTGGCCGGAGCTCTGCAGAGGAGATGGTAAAACTGAACTCGCTCTCTTTACTGAGTTGTAGTGGGGAACTATATATACAACTCTACCCATCTAATCCTAGTACACAGACATGTCAAGCTGCCAGCTGCTATAGTGACTAGATGTGACAGCAGGGCTAACTTTGGCACCCGCCCTGCTTGTGTGGCTATATAATAAGGCAGGAAGGCTTTTTGGCGCCCGCCCCTGCGGCAATGCTATAAAGACAAAGAACAGGGAGCCCTTCGGACTTTGCCCCGCCGCGTGTTCAGAGGTTAGCAACAGATTATTTAACAATTCTTTCCATAATCCTGCTACTAACCCTAAAACCTCCTCCATGCCGATCATCTTCTTTAGCTCCGTGAACTGAAGACGGCCGAGCGGGTTGGTGAGGACGTCCGCGAGTTGCCGACCAGTTTCAACGAACACGATGACGATCTGCCCTCCATCGACACAGTCCCTAAGGAAGTGGAACTTGATGTCGATGTGCTTGCTCTGGTCGTGGAGAATCGGATTCTTCGCGAGGGCGATGGTGGGATGGTTGTCCACCATCAGTGCTGGTGGGTGAGCTTCCATACCGGTCAGCTCGCCCAGTAGCCGACGCAGCCACACATCTTGGCACATCGCTATGGCCGCCGCCACGCACTCTGCCTCGCACGTGGACAACGCCACCATCTTCTGTTTCAGCGACAGCCATGAGATTGGAGCCGACCCAAGGAAGACGAACACGCCAGAGGTGCTCCGCCGTCCGTCGATGTCCCCCGCCATATCTGTATCGCTGAACACAATGAGCTATAGCCCACTTCCGCCGGTCTTGGGGAAGACGATCCCCTGATCCACCGTTCCCTTGACGTAGCGCAGCAGCCGCTTCACCGCGGCCCAGTGATCCTCTCGGAGATCCTCCATGAAGCGGCTGACGTGTAACACCCCTGGTGTTATGAGATTGCTTAGCACCAAGATTTAGACCTAATAGGATTTACCGAAACGATTTTCTTGGATTTTAAAAAATTAACTTATGTTTAAAAGTGTCGATTTTGACGAATTCTATTAAACAACGGGTTAATTAGTTCCTAGATGTTTTATTTTTACGAGTTAGTATGACGTATGGACTATTGCTTAAAAATGTCTGATAGCAAATAAAAGGACGAATGGCTTGTTTATTTAATTAAGTATGAAAAACAAATTTTATAAACAAAAATATGATACGACTGGTACATAGTACTTAAGTAAAATTCGGAGCATGATTTTTCTTGCATTTAAAATATCGAGTAACAAACTTTAGTGCTTTAGTCGTGTTTGAAAATATATATAGTCGGCTTGGAAAATGAATATTTGAGAGCTAAAATGTTATATAATGTGGATAGAAAAATTATGCCATCAGCAAGGTAAAAACGTCGTGAGTGTGTTAGTATGTTTGTTTCGAGTATTGCTATGATGTTGTTAGTTTCAAAATTAGTTTGTAAAGGAACAAAAATAGAAAAACCCGTTCGTAGTTTGTGTCGATAAATAATTGTCAACTTGAAAAGTAATTTTTATAAAGCAACAATAATATAAAACGTGTGTTTGGGGTTTTAATAAAAATTGAAGTACAAGTCGAGTAGATAAAAGCGCAACTTGGTTTTGGTAAACAAATGCTGTTGCGCATTCGTAGCCGCTCGTTTCACCTACCCTGCCGCAGCCAGCAGAGCCACGCGACGTCCTTGTGTTCGGTTGCAACGGGCTCCCTCGCGTCCTTGTGTGGGAGCGCTGTAACGGATGTTTTGCCGAGCTTGCCGCCTTCGTGTCCCGCCAGTTTTGAGCCGTCTCGTCCATGCCACTGCTGTCCTGCGCCCGGCGCCATGTGCGTGCGTCCTTCCTGCTGCCGCTGTCTTTTGCCTTTAAGAACGATGGCCGACATGCTGCTGCCGTGTACTGCTTTGCTTGTATCCAGCCATGTGCACCCCATCTGCCCCGGATGAGGACTCCTTCGCCTCTCCCTCGCCATCTTGCACCTGAGGCGCCCATCCACAACCGCTCGAGCCAGGAGCGCAGTCGCCACGCCTCCCCCTACAGCGCCCGCCAGGGCCACGCCGTTCGGTGATGGCCCTTTCTAGCGCGAGCGCACACATACCCCTGGTCCCGCGCTAGGCCCGCTGCTCCTCGGCGCGCCCGTGCCGTAGCGCCTGGCCGGACCACGACCTGCCCGCTGCCTCGCAGCATGCCTTGGCCGCGCCCGCCGTTGCCCTGCCCTGTAACACCCCGGTGTTACGATCCTTTTTAGCGCCGCGATTTAGGCCTCAGTAAAGTTTCGAAATGAGTTTCTCGGATTTTTGATTTAAAACGTATTCGACGCGATACGTGAATCCAGTGTGACTTAGTTCGCGGACTCTAGTAAACGCTCAAGTTGAATCACGCCGGGCGTAGAAATAATTAGAAATGTCGAACGGCAATTCGAGCCAATCGATAGCAAACGGTTCGTTCTATTAGATTAAGCATGAAAAGCAACGTTTATAAATAAAATAAAACCCATTCATAAATAGAACGATATACTTATATATATATAGCTTTTGAATCAATTTAAATGCGAGTTTGCGGAAATTTTGCTGTGCCTAAACGTTACAATTTGTGTAAAGTAGTAAACCATTATATATATATATATATATATATATATATATATATATATATATATACCTGTTACGGCAGTAATTCTTAATCAAAGAACATGTAACTGTGTTAGCCCTTGTTTAGTTGGAGAAATTTAGATTTTGGGACTACTGTAGCATGTTCGTTTTTATTTGGCAAATAGTGTTCAAACATGGACTAATTAGGCTCAAAACGTTCGTCTCGTAATTTCCCACCAAACTGTGCAATTAGTTTTTCTTTTCGTCTATATTTAAGGCTCCATACATAGGCCGCAAACATTCGATGTGACAGATACTGTAGCAACTTTTTGGATATTGAGGATGAACTAAACACGGTTTTAGTTGACCTACTCTCTGCAACCTTGTCTACACCTGTCTAATCTTGGTCTTGTCCGAATTTTTAATGGGGGCACCAGCAACCGTGCAGTGCATGTGCTCAGAGATTGGCCTGGAGGCTAGGCTTTGTTTAGATTACAAATTTTTTCACTTTTTTTCTATCACATTAAATCTTTGACATATATATGGAGTATTAAATGTAGATAAAAAAATAACTAATTACATAGTTTAATTGTAAATTACGAGACGAATGTTTTAAGCCTAACTAGACCATAATTAGACAATAATTATCAAATACAAACGAAAATACTACAGTATCATATACTGATTTCCGACCATCATCTGCCTAGCGTCTCATCCGTGCATGTCAAATTCCTATTTCCGACCATCATCTGCCTAGCGTCTCATCCGTGCATGTCAAATTTCAAGTCCCAAGCGCTCAGAGCTGGTGAGGCCGGGTCACCGTCCTTGTCGGCAGCATGCTTCTCTCTTTCCCTCCTTTCTACGCTGCTTGCCCAAGTCTCTGTGTCACTGCGTTGTCTTCATTCCTCCGGCCATTTTCCCTCTCTGCCTCCTTCCCAGACTTAACTCACGGCACCATCACGACCGCGTGTATCGGCGTCCTCTTCTTCCTTCCCGCCGCCTGGTTTTTCCTCGCGTGCCAGAGCGCTTGACCCTGAGGCCCCGCTCGCTGGCTCCCTCGGCTTTTTTCCCCACGCGGGCGCACGCGCAGCCTTGCTCGCCCTTCTCGTCCACGCCATGGCCGCGCCGAGCCGCAGCGCCCGCATGCCGGCTGCCATGCCATGGCCCGCTGCTCCGGACGTCCGTTCCCACGCCGTGCGAGCACAGGTATCCCGCTGCCGCAGCACCACGTAGTGCTCCACGCCCGCCGTACAGCGCGGCTCATCCCTTCCCCGCTTGTGCCAGCAGCGCCATCCCTCCCGCTCGCCCCTTGGCCCCGCCGTTCAAGCTCCGTCTCGCGCGAGCAACCGCCCGCGCCCCTCCTTCTTCCTTCCCTGCGAGTGCACACTGCTCGTCCGTTGCCGTGCGCCCGCAGTCGCACCACCGTAGCCCCACGCCTCCTCTGCATGCTGCTGCACGCCATGGCTGTGCCATGCCGCGCGCGAGCACGCCCGCGGTCCTCGGGTCCGCGCCGGCCTGCGGCTTCCAGGCGCCGTCTCCCTCATGCGCCTGCTCGACCACCGTCTCGGCCGCGGTACCTGGCCGCCGTTGCCGGTTGCTGCCCCGCGGTCCCGCTGTGCTGCCCCGTCGTGGCTCGCGCCTTCCCCGCGCCGTGGTCCGCTGCTCCGGGCGTCTTTCAGCCGGACCGCAGCAGCCGCGCTGCCCTTCCGCGTCGCCCCGCACCACCACCTCGCTGGCCGTCGTGACCGCAGCAAACTCCATCGCCGGCCGAAGCTCCTCAGCTCCTCAGCTCCTTTGTCTGATAAAGGTGAACGAAGGGTATAAATCCAAGCCAATATGTTATACAGGGTTTTATTTGCAAAATACGTGACTCAGTAAATAGGACTCGGGACTGCGGGTTAAATTCGTCAAAGCGCAGGGACGTTTTTGCTAAAATTGCTTGGCCGGTTTGGGGGCAGGCCGTGCACTGGGCCGGCTTGCCGCTGAGTGTGCGCTGGGCCGCTCAGTCCCCGGCCTGCTGGCCTCCGCTGGGCCGCCGCGCGCCCATCCGCTGGGCTGGTTTGCCGCGCTGTGCTGGGCCGGCTGGTCGCCGAGGCGTCCGGGCCGCTCGCGCCTACGCGAGCCCGCCCCGTGTCGGACCGCGCCTGCCCCGCATGGGCTGCTGTGGCCGCTGGTCCAGGCGAGCTGGGCCGCTTTGGGACCAAGAGTCATCTCTCTTTTCGGTATTTTGTTAATTTTAGTAATCATCTGAATATTGGAAAATTAGTAATAAATCATAGAAAAATTATAAAAATGTCAAACTAGTTTTATTAGTCTCCTAAAATCATGATCTACCTGCTAGTATAATTTGTTCATATAGTTGGATAATATTCTTGGGAGCGATATAATTATTCGAAGATACTTAATATTATAAAAATATAAACTTGTAGGAACTTCCGTGATAAATTGGTAATAGTATTGGATCGGAAATCTTTACAGTAGGTTCCTAGCAATATTAGCTGCTCATCGTAATTTTTGTAGCTCTAGAATAATTAGTTGCTAGATAAATAATGATATCCTATTACGAATAAAGAAACACCGTTGGTTTATATAACTAAAAGAATTGTTGAGAAATAACGTCTTATGCGACAACATGGATATGTAGCCTAAGTACGGTCGTCGTTAGAACTAGCTCGTTCACTTGAGAGACGTAGAGCGTATTTATACGAGTCACGATTTCAGTCAGTTGATCATACCCTTGTATTTCATTACATTGCATATCATGATAGGGACGTCGATGGATCACGGAGTCATCGGGTGTTGCTGAAGAAATGGTGCTTTTGGAGATCATGACGCCATGATGGAAAGCTAACTTCTAATTATATTTTACCCAGGCAAGCCCCGGTGCATAACCCCTACCTTCTGCAGTTTAAATTATATTTGTGCATTAAGTTTTAAGGAGTGGAATGAAACCCACTTGCATGTATATCTTTATCATATGAGTCTTACTAGTATAACAGGATCGTGTAGATTGCTATGCTACAGGACTCCGGTAGAAGTCGAGTGATTGCCTGTCACTCGCGAGATACAGGAAATATGTTACTATATGATTATCACCTGGAATATATAAAATGGTGGAAAGGAAAATGGTGACCGGGCAGGGATATGGTTTGGATATTGGTGGGTGTAAGAAGTTGTGTCGTCGTGGAGGCGGGTCATAGCTTGGTTACACCGTGTTTCCTGTCTGGTCGGTTAAAAACCGATCGTTGCATATGACTCTAGGCAGGTCACAGACTTATTATCCCGAGCACATACTTGTGTATGGGCGCTTGAAAGACTTGTTGCTCTCTTGTCGCGGATCCGGCTCTTTCCGGACTGACTGTTAGGGTTTTATTTTGGTGGAGGAGGTCCTTGCACCGCGCTGAGTCTGGGACTCAGGGGCGGGGGCTTGGAGTCCCAGTTTGGACGGGGACCTGGACACCCAGGACAAGAGAGTGATGGGTTGGTCCTGCTTGTGCTCGGGGTACAAGCGGGGCGTGTGTTTTCGGGGTACTCAGCTGGGGGCATTGATTCACGAATCGCCGGACGATCCGGTACGGCTTGTCTACGGTTTAGCATCGTAGTAAGAACTGAAAGATGAAAGATGGAAAGAGAAAATCTGATTGCTTACCACCTGCTTGAAAGTAGTACAGGTGCTTACATAGAATGGTTAGTTAATGAATCAATGCGGCTATTAATAAAAATCGAATCTAAGGACGCACGTTTAGTAATGCTTCCTACAAATGCAACCCACAAGCCAGATAGCCTTGCATATCCTTGGAGTCTTTTCTTTCCTCCTGTCGGGTAAGTCTTGCTGAGTACAATTGAGTACTCATGGTTTTATTCCCCCTGTTGCCGGTGACAGGTGGATGCTCGAGCTGACTCTTGTGTGTGGATTCCTCCTGGTGGGCTCAGCGAGGATTTCCTTTACGCTGCGATCATAGTTTTTATTTATAACTCCCACCAACTGTTTTTATAAATGAAAGTTTCATAATCTGTTACCATAGTTTATATATCAATACTTCATCATGTCATGATTAGATAGTCATTTCCGCTGTAAGTCTGATCACATGCTTATATTCCGCTGTTCAATTAAATTATTCATAACTCTGATAATATGATTTCATTCCGCTGTTATATTAATAAATATTATACTATGATATTGTATTAAAAGTGATGTAAGAAATGGTTAAATGATGTAAGCTTTATTCTCTCATTTGTGATACTGATGGCGAAAATGTGGATTTTTGGGTTCTCCCCTGGGGTGTGCCCGACGGAACCGAGTAATTTAGTGTTCTCCCTTGAGTGCTTAGTGTCTAATGGAAGACAAGCACTCCTGCGAGGCATTAGATTAGGCGGTTCTGCCACATGCCCCGCCCGTAGACGGTCTGTCACATCCTCAATGGTGAGGGTGGACAAGTCCAGCATCGTCTCTATGGAGAGAGCGATCCAGATATACTTCATCGACACGGAGTGGAGGTACTTGGAGACCGCCTCTTCTTCGTCGATGGTGACGCCGTGGCTCCTCAGCTTGCTGATGAGCGACTGCAGGCGAAGGGAGAAGTCCTCCACCGATTCACCATCCTTGAACTTGAGGTTGGCGTACTCCTGCTTCAGCAGCTGGGCCGTCGCCTTCTTTGCGCGGTCGAAACCGATGCGCATCGCCACAATGGCTTCCCACGCCTCCTTAGCAGAGCTCTTCGCCCCCAACAGCTCCCGGTACTCCGCACAACAACGAGGATGGTCTCCAACGCTAACATGTCGTCTTCTTCGTTGTCGGTGCCCTTGTCAATAGCATTCCAGAGCCGTCGAGCTCTGAACTTGACCTTCATAGTCACCACCCACTCGCCATAGTTGGTGCGAGCCAGCATCGGTCAACTGGTGCCGCTGACCTCCCGCACCGTGCGCACAACGACCTCCTGTCGTGCTGGGCAGCCACAGCAGCGTCGCTGCTATCGTCCATCTCCAAACCGCTCGTCATCGCCAGCGGTTACTCCGACGACGGCACTTGTATGGCTTTGATACCACTTGTTGGCCCCTGGATCTTCCACACGGGTGAGCCAACCGCTCACCTGCGTTGTCGACCACACACTATGGCTAGAGGTAGAAGAAGGGAGGAAAAACAGAGCGCGCACACACAGAGCACGAACACCAGCGTTGGCCGGAGCTCTGCAGAGGAGATGGTAAAACTGAACTCGCTCTCTTTACTGAGTTGCAGTGGGAAACTATATATACAGCTCTACCCATCTAATCCTAGTACACAGACATGTCAGGTTGTCATGCTACTACAGTGACTAGATGTGATAGCATGACTGACTTTGGTGCCCGCCCCTGCTGTGGCTACAGTGCGGTAGGGGAGCCTTTCGCCGCCTGCCTCTGCAGCGGCTACAGTGCAGCAGCAGGGAGCCCTTTCGGCGCCTGCCCCTGCCCCTGCCGCACGTTCAGAGGTGAGCAGCAGATTATTTAACAGACACTTCTAGTTCTACCAGTGATGAGTTGTACTCCTCAACCTCAAGACACAGGGAGGTGATTTTTGGGTTAGCAAGATCGATTGTCAGCATTTCCTCCACTGGGGATGGTACGTAAAATTGCCCTGAACTTGCAGTTAAATTAACCCAATCATTTCCTCATAGCTAATCTTGACATCCTTGGCTCCTTGCTATATTCAGATGGGTTGCCAGAATGGAAATTTAATGGAATCGTCATTGGTCCATCTGAGTCGGATGAGCATGCTAGGATACTGACCAGTTCTGAAGCCGTCTGTGATTATGATGGGAAACTGCTCGATCACAAGTGCACAAAAAACTTGCTGATACGCGCTTTTTGTTAATCTACTTCTTTGTTGTTATTAGGTCTACAAACATGCTAGGCAGCACGACCTGCCGGTAGCCAAGAGATGGACCCTCTTGTGCTTCCACATGCTATCCTATGTGCCAAAAAAGTTGACCCTCAAATCAAAATAGCTTTCTTCTTTACAGCAGTGGAATAAAGCTCTCTGCTGTACAATATCGGCCAGCAAACTATGGCTTACTAGCACTGATGTTAATCCCAATATAAGTAAAAAATTGACCGAGTTCTCGGTTGAATATCAGCAAATTAACAAAGTTTAGCAATCAATCCAAGATACTTTTTGGCTGGTCTTGTTTGCTGCAATGCTGCTGCATTCTGCTGCTTCACCGTCCTGGACAGCTGAATAATTAGAAGATTGCTACCATTTAATCCTTGAAAACGCAGGAGAGCTGCGCATCATTATATTAAGAAGAGAATAAAATGGGATAAGAACCCATACAACACAACACACAAAAACCACACACAACTCAACACACACACACACTGCACTGCTGCTGCTAGAAAACTAACGCGCCCGTGACATAAAGATCACGACCGGTAGACAAGGCTCTAACCACCCGGAGTGAGGGCATCCAAGAGGGATAATCCTCGAGCCCCCGCCAAAGACCACGACCTTCTTTCATCTTCAGCTACAGCAAGTGCGCCTACAACATTTAGGGCTGCTCCATCAAAGATGTATTTGTTGCGGTGTGTCCATAAGGTCCGAGCTCCAAGGATTATGAGAGAGTTGGTTCCCTTCCTTAACATATCACTAGCAGCATTGCTCACTTTCTCCCACCAAAAATGGAAATATGTTTCATTCGGTTGCGGGGAAAAGGCTTGGAGTCCAATCCGAGAAAAGAAGCGGAACCAAAACTCTCTTGCAAAGACACACTGAACTAAGAGGTAATCACTCGGTAAAACTTCACAAAGAGAGAATATCAATTTATACTTCAGAAATATATAATGATGTGCCCATGCTCTCAGAGGGTAACTACCAAGATTATTCTATGGAATAACTCATGGATAGGTTTCTCGCTGTTTACTGCAGTTATTCTTTTCATCCCCTTTAGTAAATGTTTGAAAGGATTTTTGAAAATGGGTGCAGATCATGGTTTCAGAAAATAATATCAATCATGTAATCATGCTTGCGTACAGTTTTGAACCTTATATATAATTTGCACATGATACTAAGTTGGTAACCTTCTACAACATTTTTTGCACTGCCAATCTGTTTTACCAGCCATCAAGGCACTTCCTGTGGCATAGTGCAACATTAGGACGTCACTTTGGCCATAGTTGTCTCTTGCACTTGGATCTCTTTTTTATCTAGATGCATTTCTTTTTAGGAAAAAAGTTCAAAGTACTCCCTCCAACCTTGGCCTACGCCTAGTTAACCCCTTACAACATTTGGTTTGATTTACTCCCTCCAACTGAACTATTTCAGTTGATCCATTTTACCCCTTAACAAGATTTTCTTTTTGTTCTTCCATGTATTAGTTGAGTTTTAGTTTCAAATTTTATGAGGCGATAGTTGACATCATAATTTATGTTAAAAAATACATAATAAACTCTTTACTACTATTTCGATAAGTTAAGATTATTAAGGCCAAACTCAACTTGTTGAAGGTTATTGTCTTACCTTTAATATAGATTTATTGATACAATTTGTCTATCTAATGTAACTTGTTTTTTTCAGCTACTTGTTCGTTTACCAAATAAGGTCATTAAGAATGGAGAGCTTTTGTTCTTTGATGACTACTATGGCTTTGCTATCCTGGAGATCTCAGTTGATATGCCTTTGTGGTGCCCTTCCTTCGTGTTAAATCCAGATTACGGAGATGACGTCTTTGTATTGACAAGAAAGAAAGATTCTTCATTGATGACTACGACAGGGAAGGTCTTATGGCACAATGAACCCTATTTCAGGCGCAACCATCATTTGTATCTTAGCTGTGAGCTTCCCGGGGTATTAATCAAATTACTTGTGTTCAAATGTTGCATCTTTACTTGATTGCCTTGTTAAATCATTTGTACATATTCGATGCAGCGTATCTCAGGTGGATTGGTAATGGATCGAGATGGAGATATTGCTGGAATGACTTTTGATTGTGCCAGCCCAAAAACTGCCGTGCTTCCTAGCTTCATTATCAAGAAATTGATTGAAATGGAAAGCAACTTCAGGTATAAAACAACAAGAAACTTGACACTTTTATTACTTTGAAAAGCATGTGCAATTTTAGATTCAATAAAATTAGATGATTTCCTGTGCAATTTATTTGGTAAATAAAATACAATTGTAATAAGTAAATGAACTAATTTTTGTTTTTCTTCCAATTGTGAGATAATCTGCTGCACCCGCTGGCAGTAGCAGGGAGTTGGCAAACAAGTCAACCCTGTTGTCCCATCTAGCCTGCAGCACCCTGCACCTTTGCTACGGGAGAAAGTTGCAATAGGTCAAATTTCTCTATCTTCTCTATCCTCTGTAACAGCATGACAATAAGTGGTGACTGATCTCATCCCGATAGTGGCCAGCTGTAGCCACTAGCAGTAGTAATAGTAGACTAGAGTTGTATAAATATCAGCTTGTTTAGTAATGATGAAAAGCAGTTCAGTTGCTGCACTTCGATCCAGCAGACTTGCGTGTGCTGTGTGTGTGCTCCGTGCTCACTCCCTCTTCTTCTACCTCCAGCCAAAGGTGTTGTGTGTGTGAGGGTGCTAGTGAGCTAATCACTCACCTGTGGGCCAACACCAATAGTTTTTGCTGAAAATGGTAGACAATTGTAACAAGATATGTAAGGCTAGTTTTATTCTATATCCTGTACATGGTTTGTCTTTAAGAGCAGTGCAGTTTTTGGATATGTCAAGGAGGGAAGAAATCTTATATAAACACAACATCGATAGTGGTTACCTCATCGATAAGGTAATGAATCTCTTCAACTGAATGTAACTCCTTTTAGACTATTTAGGTTGACATTATTTGTATCTAATTTTTAGTCTATATGTTCTTTTCGGTATTGTAACTTGTTTGATACTTTTAGGTAAAAATGAACTCCACTGCAGAAATCATTGGGATTAGGCGTGGGGATGTGATTGTTTCAGTTAACGGGATGTGCTCTCAGAATATGCTAGACGTGAAAAACTGAAAATATATCTAATTTTATCATATATACTTGAAAAATATATTTCTTATTGTGTTCAAAATTTGTTCCCAGTTGGAAGAGTATTTTCTTTCTCTTGGCTGGAAGTTTCTGGAGAAGAAAATTGAATCATCCAAGATTGTTCTGAAGGTATATTTGAAGTTATGTGCAATATTGAAATGTAAACTTTACTGCTTATTTCTTAAAATAAGAAAAAAAGGTTAACAATTATGATATGATGTTTCAGTTAAAGGTTTATGACCCCCTTAACTGCCAGGAGAACACTCTACGCCTGCCTCTGGGATTTTCTTGCCTTACAGCAGGTAAAAAAGTTGAAGTGAAAGCTAATCTGTATTTCTTATTTTCTTTGATTACATGTCACATGAGAGTTTTGCTTAATGGTAGTTCCATAGTTGTTAGAATGTACTTTGGTTGATTCACATGATTGTTAGAAGTATGTGCTCTTTGAGGCTAGTAAGAAGAGTGTTTTTTAAGGCAAGTAAGCTATAGAGATTTGACAAAGCACATTAACATTGGAGCTCTGGTGCTACCTGAATTGGCTCTGTTTTCAACCTTAGTGCCTTCCATCCAAATAAAAAGAAGGATCCGCCTTTTCAAAGAGCTAATGTTGTATCTGGATTTCTTGTATATTTGTTCAAGTTCAGGATGAATATAATACATACTAATTCTATGTTTCTATAAGAACAAATTATGCAATAACAACAATGCATTTGTTTTAGTAGGAGCCCCTGGCTCTTCCTGATTCCTCAAAAAACAATGCGTTTGTTTTATCTTTTATGTTCATCTTCTAGTGCATCTTTTCTGAGTTTACAACCAAAGTTGAACCAGGTTGCAATTTAAACTTGGTTCACAGCTATCATTGACTTTACACTTTTGTTGTTTCCCGTTTCTTATGGATGGTTTTGAAATCACTGTGGTAAAGGAGAGGGTGAAGGTGCAAGTAACCGAGAAGACATTTGCAAGTACGTCACATGGCATCAAGCGCAAGAAAACCACTCCTGAGCCGATGTTATCTGGAGGGGTCTTACACCCTCATAAGAAAAGTTTAAAAAGTGAGTCCTAGGGAAGCTAGAAGCTTACGTACGGTGGCCGTGCTGCTGTGCATGGAGTGAGTAAGACGACACGAGTGATAAGTCTCTGATTATTGTCGATGTTTCACCACCGATAGCCTGCCACGGGGGTCCCCGGGGCAGTTTTGTTCGGGCTTCAGCGTATGCGGAACTCGACGGTGAACGCAAGAGACAGTCGATTTATCCTGGTTCGAACCCTCGATCGTTGATCGAGTAATAGCCCTACGTCCAGTCGGCGTTAGCCTTTGCGTTGTATTGATTGTGTGTTGTTGTGTTGTCGAAGTCTCCCCTCTCTAGGAACCCTGCCCTCCTTTATATAGTCAGGAGATCAGAGTCCTAATCGGTTTACAATAAGAGTTCTTAGTAGGATTACAGGATAATACTACTACTAGGATTACATGGGAAGAATCCTAGTTGGACTAGATCTTCTCCCTTCCTGGCGGGGTATCCTGTGGGTCCCGCATCGACAAGCTCCCGAGCACTTCACGGTTGAGTTCTGGAAGCTTCTTCTTGTTCCTTCAGGTCTTGCCAAGTAGAAACAAGCGTCGTCCGAGTGCTTTCTTGAGCGAAACCGTGTAGCGCTTCGTGAGATCTTTGGTTGGTGTGTACCTTTTTGAAGAAAAAAGTATTCCCATTTGGGTGTAGCCCCCGAGCCTCTTGCTTTTTGGCACAAGGAGCTGGAGGGTCTTCTCTTGAAATCACATTGTTTCTTCATCGAAGGGTTCCTGAGCATATACCCGGGTTCTTTATCAAAAAAGAGCTCGGGTATAGCTAGGTCCGGGTTCTTTTTGTCTTGATGTCTTGAAGTGATCTATCTTGAAGAAGTCTTCTTGGTGATGTGCGTTTTTTTTTGAGAAAAAGTGCACTCACTGAGTGTAGCCCCTGAGCCTCTTGCTATTTGGAACAAAAAGTTGGAGGGTCTTGAATCTTATGTTGTTTTGCAACTCTTGTCTTGAAGAAGTCTTTTGAGTGATGTGCGTTTTTTTGAAGAAAAAGTGCACTCGTTGAGTGTAGCCCCCGAGCCTCTTGCTATTTGGAACAAAGAGTTAGAGGGTCCTGAATCTGAGTTGTTCAAAGAACTAAAAACTTCCCCTGATGCAGCCCCCAAGCATTCTTTAAAAAGAACTCGGATACAGAATATTGGCATATCCTCTGGTAGTCTGCTGTTGTTAGATGTAGAGTCTGCTGCTTTTAGATATAGAGTCTGCTGCTTTTAGAGGTAGAGTCTGCTGTTGTCAGGTGTAGTTGTGTGGTGGTGGTTGAGTGTAAATGCCTTTTGTTCACGGGTTGTACAGTGTTGGTATATTATCCCGAATATGCTTGTTATTGAGTATTGTTCCTACACGCCTTAGTTCTCTTTCATTAAATTCTGTCTTTTCATCGTGTCCTTTGTTAGGTTTGTTCCACTAGTGCTCCCGGTCCATGTGCACCGCTTCTTTGGTCTATAAATATCGTCCTTGTGTGCTGCTTTGATTCATCGAGTACTTTGTTGTGTGGTATGAAATCCCTGTAGTCATGAATATGATAGTTTGTGAAGTAGAGCAGCCCCCGGGCGTATTTTGTAGTTCCTGTGCATCTTGTCGTAGCTGGAGGAAGTCTTGTGATAGGGATTAGAGGTAGACTAATCCCGCGGCGGTTTCGTACTTGGAAGTATGTGGTGGTAGGTGGAGGAAGTCTTGTGATGTGGGATGCGTTCCTTCATTCAGCAGTTCTGGGTTGATCCTCGACGCCTGTCTTGAGACTGTCCGGTGTAGATCAACACCATATCCGGTATCACATCGGACTTGGGTAGACAGATGCCTGCCGACTTCCCCTGGTCTATGTTGTCCCGCCGTGCTGCTGATTTCCGCTTTGGATGCACTGCGTCCGTCCTTTGAAGAAAACAGTGTAGCCGAGTGCGGTTTGTTCTACCGAGTAGCAATTTGGAGCACGTAGTCGTTCCAAAACCTAGTCATGTCCGGGTTTCTTTTTGCTACCTTGCCTGTCGTAGTACCGAGTTTGTTGGGTCTTGTAAGATGTGTAATCTTGTATCTTTTGAAGTCATTTGTAATGGAATGAATCTTGTCCTCTGAGTTGTCACTCTTTATCCTGCTGATGTCCTGTTCCTTTTTTTTGAGATTCCCGAGTTCTTTCAATAAGGATCGGGTTGTTATGCTCCTTGTGAGATAACCTTTCGTTGCTTCATGGTTGATGAGTTCTTTTTGTAGCAATATGATAGCTCTGCTGTTTTGTTGGATGGATAAGTCCGAAATCTACCCGTTGAACTGTACCGTTATGTGGATTTGTGCCTTCCATCATTTTAGCTGCGTCAGTAAATGGACCGTTGCGTTCTCACACCGTGTTTTAACAGGCCCGGTGGGCCGCGTTTTACTGCTATAAAATCTATTTAAAGGCCTTTCATCTTCTTCTTCTTTACTGCTCCGCTTTTGCCTTGAAACCCTAGCTTTCAGAAATCCACCGCCGCCATTGTCGCCGTCGCCTGAGCGCCGCCGTCTTAGCCTCGTCTTTCCCTAGTGCCCTTTTGCTTCCGCTCCTACATGGGTAGGAAGAAAGCCACGAGCAAGTCCCAGACAGCCTTCGTGGACGAGGAGTCATCACTTTCCGTGATCGAGAACCAAGAGTTCGTGGCCATGAGGGCTGTCCAGAAGGCTTGGCCGGCTCCGACGACGACTGAAGACTAGCTTCGCGATCTTGTCAGCGATGGACTGATCCAGAGCAAGGACATCGCTGAATGGATAGCTCCAGGCGAGCATCGGGTCCCTGCTCCAGGTCCTGGTGAGATTATTCTTTTCGTCTCCTTTATCCGTGCTGAACTTTGCCTTCCTGCTTCCGCCTTCCTTCATCAATTTCTCGGTTATTTTGGGGTTAGTTTGAACCATCTTACTCCCAATGTCGTCCTCCATCTTTCTATTTTTGTTCATCTTTGTGAAACTTTCCTTGCAATTCATCTTTCTCTTTCTCTCTTCCGTCACTTCTTTTGTCTGAAGCCTCAACCCTGCCGTGAAGACACCAATGTTCTTGGCGGCTACGGGAATCAGTTTTGCCAGGGTCTTAAAAGCAATTTTTTTGACTATGACCTGATTGATTCTATGAGGGATTGGCGCGCTGACTGGTTTTATGCCGCCAATTTGATTCCTTCTCTCGCCGTTCATTCTGGATCTGGTCCCTCGGTTAACGACCGGTGGGAAAAGAACTCTCTGACGTCAGACGAGCTCCAGGCGATCCAGCCGTTCCTTGAGCGGATAAGCACTCTAAAGCAGCAGGGCTTGACCGACTTCGGAATCGTCTCGAGTTTTCTTCGCCGTCACGTTCAGCCTCTGAAGGAGCGAGAGAACTTTGGCTTCGAGTACTCTAGGGCTGAGGATCCTTCACGCATGGTCCCTGCCCTTGAGTTGACCGACGAGGAGGTACTCGAGCGTCTTCAGATGATGCTGAAAGGAGCAAGCATTGTCCCGCTTATCGTCTTCGAGTACTGTGCAAAGAACCCGCCTCCAGCTATAAATTGTTTTCTCTTTGTGCGGGTACTTTTTGTATTTCTTTTGATGTATCTATTTTCGCTTAAGCTTCCTTGTCTTGTTGTCTTGTTATTTTCGTAGGAATTGGGGCGTAACTTTGTTGACCCGATTCCCCTTGACGTCCTCCCTGCCATTGTTGGGGCTGGGGGTAGTCTTGCTGGGGCTTCTTTAACTAGTAAGTCGCAAATTGCCGTAATGCTTCCTGGTGTTTCTTATGCAAACCCTGATGTATATGTAGAGTATGTTCCTCGTTCAGTTCCTTGAGCTGCTCGTAGCGTCGGCAAGAAGGGGTGAGTGGCTGGTTCTTCTGGTGTGCCTGCTGCCAAGAAAGCTCGCCAGTCGAGTACTTGTCTAGGTACTCAAGTTATAGCTAGCATGCTCTTAGGTGAGCACATTAATACGCTCTGTCCTTCTGTTGCTTGTTTTCGTCTTTAACCGAGCACTTTTGTCCTTTTTCAGCTGGTGCTATGGTGGCCTTGGTCGAGACTGAGGAAGAAGAGGATGATGATGCACCCCTTGTCACGTGGCGGTGAGTTGTTTTCTTATTTTCCTGCTGTTGAATCCCTCTTTTTTGTTTTGACTTTGGTCTTGATCTTTTTGTAGTAAGCGGTCATCGGGTACGAGTTCTTCTAGGGCTTCGGCCCTAAGTTCTTCCGGGGCTCTGGCCCTGAGTTCTTCTAGGGCTCCGGTACCGAGTTCCTCTGTGGCTCCGGTACTGGCTGCGCCGCTCCTATCGTAGGGTGGCGGTGATATTTTTGCCGTCATAGTTCCTCCTGCAAGGTCTTCTTTCGGTTTTTTAAAGAAGAAGATAGCTGAGTAAGTGACTCTTTGTTGTGCTTCTTCGCTTTTTGCCTTCCTTTTTC